CGTCTGGTTTGGTTTGAGGCTGTAGGTAATCTCATGATTCCTGGCCGGTTATGTCCTTAACCCACGGGGGCGGGTTCGGATCATGACAAAAACGTGATTCTACTAGATTGTGGTCCATCTCTTGTAAGCAGGATATGGATCGAGTCATGATTGTCCTTTGTGGTGGAGGATTGTCTGGTTGCTTCTTCTTGCATTCAGGACCAATGTTGCCTGTGAGTGGCTGGGTAGCTCAAACGAATGAATCCTACGTAAAAGAATTTATCATCCACGAAAAAATGATATGCTATATAGAGGTAGATTCACTCCGTAAATCAATAGAGGAAATTTGTTACAGCCAAAACTCTCTATAGTCCCAGTGAAGTCACAAGCCGTCACACCCAGATTTTGTCCAACTTAATCAAAATGATTTAGGACTGTATGCAACGAAAGGAATATGATCCAATAATTGAAACTAAAAGTGTAGGATTTTAAAGAAATATTTTTAGTCGCCATCTAACATGAAATTTAGTTGTGCTTGGTCACCTAAAATTGTCAAAATTTCTCAATCCTAGTTTGGAAAGCATGTTTTATAAAAATTTGAATTTGGTAGTCACTTTCATTTTGGTCTTCGAAAAATCAGAGATGAGTTCGGGAGTTTATTGTTACAGGTAGAGAAGGTGTTAGGCATCCTACACCGCCCTTACGGTATTGTGTTTCTAAATTTATTAATTTCTTTGCTAGAGGATCTACCTTTGAAAAATATTTATAATGGTAAAAGTAAAATTTAAGCATTTAATACGAAAAATGATTAGTCGAATTAGTGGTACAGTCTTTGCATGTAAATAAAAGAAATATATATATATATATATATATATATGTATGTATATGTATACATACTCATGTACATATATATATTGGGGGTTAATCCCACCAAATATATATACAGATATTATTTTTACATGTGTGTGTATAAATATATGTGTGTGTATATATATATGTAAGGGTCAATTTCATCAAAATATATATGCATATTATGATAAATAATATTTATTTAATATACACATGTACATATAGAGGTCAATTCCACTAAAATATATATACATGTATGTTATGGTAAATATCATTTATTCATTTTTTATTTATATACATGTGTATACATATATATATATATATAAATATATATATGTAGGGGTCAATTTCACCCCAAATATGTACATATATATTATGATAAACATACACATATGTATAAATAATACAATGATGACGTAAACATAAATAAAAATAAAAATAAAAATGAAATAGAATAGATTAACTTGAATGGAGTAAAGAAAGTAAATGGATAATATAAATATTGTTCAATTTGATAAACAATATACATAAATATCCACATGCGGGTTAAAAAATCAAAATATCTAACACATATATTTTTTTCACTCTGATTATTTTATTTATTTTTTTATTTATTTATATTCTCTCCTCTTTTCGATGATGATGATGATGATGATGATGATGATGATGATGATGATGATGATGATGATGATGATGATGATGATGATGATGATGATGATGATGATGATGATGATGATGATGATGATGATGATGATGATGATGATGATGATGATGATGATGATGATGATGATGATGATGATGATGATGATGATGATGATGATGATGATGATGATGATGATGATGATGATGATGATGATGATGATGATGATGATGATGGGTATAAAAGAAATTTAAAATGGAATGATGATGATGATGTTGGGTGGAAATTATCTCCACAGTTTTCATTTATATATATATATATATATTTTGTATAAACCTTTTTAGAATTTATTCAGTGTAGTTGAGGCACACGAATATCTTGTTCTAGGTAGTTGAAATTAGCTTGATAAGAATGATCTTGATTTGATGGATGCCATGTGGCAATTCTCCATTGGTTGGACATGAATGAAAGGAATCTTCAAACACATGAAATGAAAACCCATTTAGCTCTGGGCATTTTGACAAGTTGTTGATGAAGAATAATCCTGTGTGGTGTAGGTGTATGACAACTAAAATTAGTGGTTAAGATTTGCTTGATGAAATTCACCATAAATTTGTGTCCAAAGAGTTTTGGGCATTCTGGATCCAACGGTGACTTCTATTTCTGCAAATTCCTTTGACTTGGGGAAAAATGAGGTATCAACACAAGTGTTATCTATTGAAAGTTTCATGGGCATTTGTATTTCTGGGCACTATATTGCACAGATTTTTAAAGATACTTAACTGTTGAAATTTTGAAATTTTAGGTGACAAATAAAATTAATAAGTTATCTGTTGAAAGTAACTTATCTATCTGTTTAAATGTCTTTTCATTTGTGTACCTATTGAGTAATGGCCATTATATTGCACATACATAGAAAAAAAAAACTTATCTTTTGTTAAAATACTTATTAACTAATTGTACTAATTGCATTTTTAGGTGTTGAATTTTTATTTGTGCTAAGTTATTATGCACTAATTGCATTTTGAGGTTCATCTATATGTTAAAATATTTTCATTTGCCCTAATTTTGTAATCCTAGTGTTGAAACTTACTACACAGTAATCAAATTTGAAGTTTTTATTTGTTGGATTCTTGAGTTTATTTCTCCTTACATTTTTTTCTTTCCTTCGCAACATCAACACCATGAAAAAAAAAAAACAGCACACAATCACAACATAAAGAATACAATTGTAACGACCCCAAAATATAACAATAGATAAACCCATAAGGTAAACCAAATATGTGGAAAACTAATAAGGTTTCAGTCTTTCATTAATTCTTTGGAAAGCATTACGGAAGGTGCCACATTTATTATACATTCATAAACCCTATATTCTGAATCTACAGCATGTGACACATAGTGCTATATCAAAATGAAAGGAAATTCAAAAAAGTTAATGCCTTAATGACTATATATTCCCAAAGTGATACTTGGTTACAAAAAAAAGTGGTTCAAGCCCAAAATAAATAAAAAGCCTGAGGCTTGTACAAATGATATTTACAATACAAAAATGAATGAGCCTTTAGCTCCAAGATCCTCCTAAGCTAAGTCCTTTGCGGAGGCTTACCATCAACACCTGAAAGTTGGTTTTCACATAAGGTGAGCTACAACCCAGTAGAGAATACTTTAAAACATTGCATGATACTTAACAAAGTCATATTGCGAGTGTATATGAATTCCACTTACCAAAACGTTACACTTTTCTCCTTCAAAACAATGCAATGCCATGATTATAAATTAATTCGTAAAACAAATACTTTGCAAAATCAGAAAACAGGGCAGTGAATACACAACACTTGAAATCTCTAGATTGTGTCTGCCAATATGCTATACAAGCACTACCAAAGCTATTTTACTGGTACTAACCAGAAGGATTGGCACCTAACCACCGGGCCCGGGGGGGGGTTTCTGGACTTTTACCATGGACACACAGGACAACATAGAAAATACCACAACCACACCCCCTAATCAGATTCACCAAGGCATTCACCCATTTTTCTCAAAATGATACTTTTTCAATGTATAAATATGAATCAATAGTAAATGCATGATGTATGAGTAATTGGTTTCCATTAATGTAATCTTCATGCAATTTCCACAACAATCAAACTATCATCCACCGATAACCCAAAACAGATATCACTACACAAAAGAAAAATAAATCTCCAAGCAACATATATAATTTCATAATCTCAATATAGGAGTAATAATTCATATTCAACTCCACTTTCATTATCAACATATATATTCATATTATCATTTCAAAAACTCAACATGTTTTCATTTTTCTTTAGTTCAAAACCAATGATTTCCAAGATTTCTAACAAAACATCTATTCCTTTCAAAAATGCATTTTTAGAAGAGATTTTCAAGATTTCAACCCAACTTATCAATATAACCATCTCCACAACATTTCCCATGAACCTATTGGAAAACTCCTGTTTTATACTTCCGAAACCAAATCCAAATCAAACCCTAAATCAAACCCACAACTCCCAAATATCCAGTCTTTCAAGAAACACATAACAAGGCCAAAAATCATGCAAAGAAGTTAAAGAAATTCCTATCTCAAGATTAGAAAGAGAGATGAACAAGATCCAAAATTTATCAGAGCCTAAAATTTGAACTTTTCCAATTAGAACGTTCACCTCTACGAGCTCTACACTTTTTCCCAAAGCACTATGGCGGTGAGACCAACGGATTTGAGTGTCTAAGGTTGTTTGGACAAGAACTAAGGAGAAATAGTGAAGAAATTTGATAAAGAAACCTTTTAGAGAGAGAGAGAGTGAGAGATCCAAAAGCAAAAGAAAAGATTTTTTTCCCGTACTGATGTATGCACAGACCGCTCAAGTGACCAAAACACCGCTCGAGCGTCAGACACAAGGAACCACCCGAGTGACCAAATCATGGCCCAAGTGCAAAATGACCTCCTCCCAGTAGCTCAGACCTGCAATTATATCGCTCGAGCAAAAGAAATACCGCTCAAGCGTCAGATATAGAATACCGCTCGAGCGACCAATCCATGGCTTGAGCGAAGAACACTCCTCTTCTAGTAGTTCAGATTGCAGACATAGATACTGGGAGGAACCAAAGACCAGTCGAGTGAACCGAAAAAGAACCAAGCATAATCCCTTTTGAAAAACTAATGCTCAACTTGTTTCAAACAAACTCACAACCATAATATCAACTCTCCAAACAACAATATAAGAAAAGAATAGGCATAGACAATCACAATGAACACCAGATTCCGAATCAAAGAGTATGAAGGGTCAAGTCTTAACCCAGGCCGCTATAATCTACCCCCTTTAGGAAATTTCATCTCCAAAATTGAACCAAGATAACGACTACAAAAGATAACATCCACAACAACACAACTCACATTCAACAGCATAAAGACAATACAATCCAATCAAAACATATTGATCTTAATTCTCTAAAACATTCATGATGTTTATATATTACAACACAAATGAATTTTAGTACAAAAGATTCAAATATCAACAAACAAGTCCGAGTACTTCTCACGGACTTCAAACTCACGCTCCCAAGTCGCCTTCTCAACTCCATATTGTCGCCACGACACCTTAACCAATGGAATTGTCTTGCCTCTTAAGACTTGATTCCGAGTATCTAACACCCAAACCGGTTTCTCTTCATATGAGGCATTTTCATCTAACTCTGAATCGGTCCAATCCAACATGTGTGAACGATCAAGCTCGTACTTCTCGAGCATACAGATATGAAACACATCATGAACCCCAAAACGTTAGGGCGACAAAGCCAAATGATAAGTTACCTCCCCAATCCGCTTTAGAATCTCAAAAAGCCCAATGAATATCAGAGACAACTTCCTACTCTTTCCAATCTCATAAAACCCTGCATTGATGAGAATTTAAAAAACACATGCTCCCTCACCTCAAAAGACAAGGATCTTCTCCTCCGATCAGCATAACTCTTCTGATGACTCTGAGTTGAAATCAACCTCTTGCGGACAAGTGCAACCTTCCTCATCGTCTCTTTGAGTAATTCTAGGCCCAACATAGGTGCATCACCCACCTCAGCCCAATAGACTGGTGATATACAAGATCAGCCATACAAGGCCTTAAAAGGTGTCATTCTAACACTCGCTTGAAAGCTATTACTATAGACAAATTCCACCAAATAAAAAGAGACATGGTGCCTCAAAAGGTGTCATTCTAACACTCACTTGAAACAGCGCCTCAAATGGGACATGGTGCACTTGGACTACTTGTTAGTCTAAGGGTGATAGGCGGTGCTAAAATTTAACTCAGTGCCCAAGGCACTCTATAGGCGCTGCCATAACCAAGCTGTGAAACGTGGATCCCTATCCAAGACGATAGTCATCAGGACCCCGTGAAGTCACACTATGTCCTTGACATATAGGTCTGCAAGAAATCCACTGAGTCACTCGTGCACATAGGTATAAAGTATGCAGATTTGGTTACAATTACCCACACGACATCCTTATCCCGTTGAGTCCTCGAAAGACCCACAACAAAATCCATCGTGACATACTCCTACTTATCAATACCAAATCCGATGGATCACTCAAGCAACCTCATGAAACAACCCCTAACACTCATTGTCTTTGACTAAAGAGATGAAACACATAGATTAGCACACTTGAGAGAGAGGATAAATGAAGATAAGTGGTGTAATAGGGAGAAGAGTTATTGTACTTATTGAACTTGTGAATAGATGGCTAAAACTATTCCCAAGCATATCCACAAGGGTCCAAAATTCATAAGAATGAGACAGTTGAAGCTAAGAAAAGCAAGGAAACAAAGAAAAGACTATCGACTCAATGGATGGGTGGCTAAGACTACTCCCTCCACATCCACGAGGACTTATAACAATTACGTAATTGAAAACAAAGTTAGAATTAAAGAAAAAGTAGGGAAAAGATGATCCAAGGGACCAATGATTCACCACTTAAAGAGGATGAGTCTTTCTTGTTCACAAACTCCATTTAAGGCCCCTCAAGAGCTTTTAGGGGTGTTCTTTAATGTCCAAAGTCCTTTTTCCATAGCTTTGGATCAAGTTTTAATGAAGAAATGGGTTTTAAGGTTGAAGATGGTAGGTGGGAGATGAGGAAGGAAGAAGAGAGCTCTCAAGCTTTTCTGTCATTGGGCAAGTTTTTTTCCAATCATTTGAAAAGAGTTGGCGAGCTCTATATATAGAGCCCAGGTCATCAACATTTTTAGATATTTGTGGTAGGTAAGCAAAAAAAGATGAAATTTTTGAAAATGCTCTGTACCCAGAACATTCAACCAACCAAGCTTCCTAGTGATTGGTCAAGTGCTTTGTGGCCAGCCATTATTTGGTGTCCAGCCAGCCAGTGGGCACATCGTCAAATAAACAAGAGCAGGCTAGCCAGAATTGAAGGGACAAATAGGCATTTCTGAGGATTTAATCATTCTCATTCACTTTTATTATATTCTTCGCTCTGTTTGTTTGAAAGAATACAACGCTTTGACTTTAAAAATATGAGCATCAAAACATTATGGAAATGTCTGGAGTTGCACCACTAAAACTCATTTTGAAAGAGGTTTCCATTTTAGTTGAAAAACATTCGTCCAAAATAGGTCGTTTAGAGAGTTTAAAGTTCGATCCTTAGAACTTCTGCCATGGAACATGCAAAGATTAACACCTCTCGTTTTCATCATTAGGAACTTAAAAGGGAGTGCCCTACTCTCAAGGCTAGTAAAAAAAATGGGGTATCTACAGTTGCCCCTATTTGACAGACTTGATGCGTCATTTTCATAACGTGAGTGAATGTCAAAGCCCGAAGACGACCCTTTTTGACAAGGCTGCAAGACTTGGGAAAACAAGCAAAATACAGATAAAGATTTGGTTGAACCCAAGGGCTGCCCACATATCCCTTTCCAAGGAATTAAACCAGCGTAGTTTAAGGGCATAATGCTAATGCCATGTTCAACACACATTTTGAAAAGAAGGGCTTACACCGTGTGCACTGCCATGATTTGATAATTGGACTTATGTGTACCACACTGTCAGAGTTTGATGATGTAAATGCCACGGAAGGTGACGAGATGAAAAAATAGATAAAATTGCAAAGGTGGCAAAAAGAAAGAAAGGGGCCAACACAAACAAGCATGCAATGTATGAAAGAAATACAACACCCACCCGTGCCATGGCACAAGCGTGAAAGAAAAAAGGATGATCGCAGCCAAAACTGCATATGACCAGCTGTCACAGCACCAAGGAACTCCACAACACACTCCAAACATGCCGTAACATGAAGAAAGAAAATATGGTGTTAACTGCCAACCCGTAGGGGGCGGTATTAACCGATGGTAGTGTTAACTGCCAACCCCGCAGGGGGTGGTACTAACCAAGGGTGGTGTTAACCACCAACTCGCACATGGGACAATATTAACTGAGAGTGATGGTAACCGCCAACCCACACATGGGACGGTATTAACTGAGGGTGGTGTTAACTGCCAACCCAGCAGAAGGCGGTATTAACTGAGGGTGGTGGTAACCGCCAACCCTGTAGGGGATGGTAACCAAGGCTAGTGTTAACCGCTAACCTCGCAGGGAGTGGTATTAACAAAGGATGGTGTCAACCACCGACCCGTAAAGGGCTGTTTTAACCAAGGGTTTCACCTTTCACACTTAGCACGTGTGGGGCTGACTGCAAAAATAGAAGCATTATGCTACAGGGGCAAATGCGGGAAAAACACAACAAAGATATGGAAAAACCTTCCTCTCCATGGGTTCTGCTAGATAATCCCGCCTTAGTACACGGTAGGGATGACAACCATACATCTCTGAGCAACTACTGCACATTTCTGAACACCTTTCTTCAAATATGTTGTTGATGCTCACTTGGCCAGCTGACAACTTGGTCGGCTGAATAAAAGAGTGGTTGGTCGGCCCTATCGAGTTTTTACAAGGTAAGAACAATCATTTCACAACTTTGAAAGTTTATAAAAAGGTGCGACCATCCAACTTCCTTCACTTTCTTTTGAAAACACCTCTCAAACTCTTCAAACTCATTTCCAAACATTGCCCATGGCTAATGATGACCTCCTCCCTTTTCCACCCAACTCTTACATTAGTTTTGACAAACCGAACACGCCATTAGGCAGCGATACCTCTTTTGGAAATACGGTAGCAGAGGCTCTTGTTACAACCATGATAGATGGCATTGACCCAGAGCTTGCTTATATCATTACCCATGCAAGGAGGCACGAAATAGGACACCCTCGCGGGGGTGCTAGTAGTAGCAGGTAGGCAGCAGTTGATGAGCCTGCCCAAACTAAAGTCCATGGGTGAGGATGTTACTATGGTCCTGGACAGGCTCCTTACGAGTGATACGGACTAGGCCTCTGAGGTCAATGAGGATGCTGGCATGGTTAAGTTTCAGTAGCTCCACATATTCCAAACATCTACCTTGAGGTTTGGTTGCCTCTAAAACTAATCATTTCCTCTCGAATGGTTTCCATGCAATACTTTCCACTTTTCTCTAACTAACACTTCTTCCTTGTTGCAGGGCGGAGCTGCTTTGCATGAGGTAATTTTCATTAGCAATGATGATGACGATGATGACGCACCTTACGGACCCCTTGATTATTCCTTTGCAGGCAGTAGTGTCTTCGACAATGGGGCTAGTGGCAATGATGATGCCCCTGGTGGAGTTGGTTCCCCATTGTCCACTGGGACGATGGATTTGGCCACCTAGTTTTGCCTTATCTTATATTCCACTTTTCTTTGTTTTTCTTTTTCTTTCCTTGTATAGCTCGTAGGAACTTTGAATGCAATACCCTCAACTGTCATAGGATGCTTTGTACCTACCTTTGTAAACAACCTACACCCTTCATGGCCCATGTATATAACAACTCTTTTGCTTGTGGATGACGTCCATCTATTATTCTTTGTATATGAATGCTTGTATACTTGACTGAACATCCTCTTATCTCTCAAACTTTGTAACTGTATATCTTCCCCTGTTCAGGCATTCTGAAACTCATCAATGTATCTGATCTAATTTCTAGAACCTGCCAGCCAATACCATAGTCGGCCTGCCAAATGTGAGGTTGATCGGTTGACCCAAGCTTTTCCCAAGTAGCTCTTGACTTTTCCACTTCTAGTAGTGTGTAAAAAGGTGGTACTTTGGCTGCAAACAACTCTCAGCCGCTCGAAGTTTGTTGTTTATATGGCTTTGTACACCTTCTTTTATTTGAAATGGTTCATGACCTCTCTCTCTCCTTCCTTTCTAGTACATCTTGAGACATGGGTTCTCCCCTTTATTTGGAGTTTGTCGGCTTGTTTGATGGGAGGTCTAACGATGTTATAGTCTTGAACTTGGAAATCATATGCTCAAGAACTCCCTCTAGTGGCTGTGGAGCTACAAGAAGGCTTGTTCGTTGGAGAGAGGAGCCATGGGCAGCCTTGGAGGAACCCACCGTTGACAACGAAAGACAAGTTCATGGCCGCGACAAAGTTATTGGCTGATCTTTGAGCTACACTAGTGCCCATGGCCATTTTCATGGACTTGGCCCGACGCCTCGTGTACTTCAGAACTCTTTGCCTATGGGATCTTCATTTCCTCATCTCATCAACTCTTTAAGGATATAATGCACTGATCTTTCCATTTATTTCCCATTCCGCATGGTTATTCTTTACTCATTTCTTGAATGACACGGTTCTTTTTGGCTTTAAAATGACAACTTAGAATCACTTTGACCACCTACTTTGCTTTCTCTGGTGGTGAGTAGCAATGAAGAAGATGACACGGGAACTGCTTTTAGCACTGAAAAAAACTCTAATGATCGCGACGATTCCGGCAATGACGGTGATGCACCAGGAAACCTTTCATATTCCTTGTAGCACTAGAGCCTTTTCCTTACAACTTAGGCTACCTCCAGATGCATCATTTCCTCATTTTTCTCTTTGAAGGACAAGGGTTGCACCTTTATGTTCATAACGAACCCGGTATATAGAAATAAGCATGTTTTGGGCTT